AATCTCTCAAGGCATATTTTTAAAAGAAGAATATTTGCTACTTATTCAAACTTGTTTTATTCATGTGAAATCTTTACGGCAAAGGCCTATTCTATTCATAGAAATTTTACAAAGTTTACTGAGCTATTTTGCTATGTTTTCATAAGGTAACTAGGCCGGTAACATGATTTTCATTGAATCATTTTATGTGAGATTTCAAGTGACTTATTCATCAAATTTCACACTTCAACTAATTGCTTCCAAAAATTTAATATCAAGAAGCATCAACACACTAATGATAATGATAATGATAGTTATAAGCCTGGGCTCCAAAGTCAAACTGCTAGGGTAAATACTATGGCTTTCCCTAACTGTGAGACCTATGCCTCTGTATTTCAGTTTACTCATGAAAAGCACATTCTTCCCTGCGCTATTGTTAGGATTAAATGACTTTAAACACACAAAGTACTTAGAACACTGAACTAAGACTCAAAAATATGCTAATATTTATTATTTAATCAGTATTAAATTTTTTGAAGGATTCAAAACCTAACTTTCCATCTGTTTCTCCTCTTACCAATGAATATACTATATCATACAATCACAAAAACAACTGCTATATTGCAGAGGCGAGGAACCTTTTTTCTGCCCAGGGCCATTTGTATATTTATATCACTGTGGGCCATACAAAATTATCAATATAAAAATTATATTGCTATAGATTTACTGAATTTCAATTCCCACCTGAGATTGCCTTGGCAGGACCAGACCAAATGATTTCATGGGCCTTATATGGTTCATGGGCCAAACATTTCACATTTGTGCTGTATTAGATCCCCTGGTTTATAATTTTCAGATGACCTGTTTTATTCTAATTTCCTATTTAAAAAAAAAATCAACAGGAATTTCATGTTTATATTTCATACAATTTACCTAATCCTGTTTTTCATTAAATGTCCAGCATACCAACCAGTGTGTGTGTGTTTGTATATATATATATGTGTGTGTGTGTGTATGTGTATACACACACACTAAATAGTACACACACACACAGTGTGAGTCTTCAGGGAATCACAATGCTTTAAAAGGACAAAAGAAAATAGAAGTTAGGATAGGAAGTAGCCCTAATATTATTTTTAAGTTAAAACATCTTGATTTCATATACCTTTTAATTTTAGAAAGACATATTAACATTTTTTACAATTTACAAATTAAACTATTTTAAATCATATTCTAAGGGTACTCTGCACTAGAAAACTAACTCTATTCTACCAGAACTCAAGAAACATTAAAAAGATGGAATCTGTAGCTGGCGCTGTGGCGTAGTGGGTAAAGCCGCCACCTGCAGTGCCAGCATCCCATATGGGCATGAGTTCGAGTTCTGGCTGCTCCACTTCCAATCCAGCTCTCTGCTATGGCCTGGGAAAGCAGCAGAAGATAGCCCAAGTCCTTAGGCCCCTGTACCCACATGGGAAACCTAGAAAAAGCTCCTGGCTCCTGGCTTTGGACTGGTGAAGCTCTAGCCATTGAGGCCAATTGGGGTGTGAACCATCGGATGGAAGATATCTCCCTTTCTCTCTCTCTGCCTCTCCTATTTGTGTTTAACTCTGACTTTCAAATAAATAAATAAATAAATCTTTAACAACAACAACAACAACAAAGATGGAATCCAAGCTGAGATAAGTTTATAAAGAAGTTTATGGAACAAGTGTTTAACCCAATAGTTAAGACATCTGAGTCCAAAATTGGATTGCCTGGTTTCAATTCCTGACTCCAGACTCCTGCCAACGCAGGAACTAACAGGCAGTGATGAGGGCTCAAATAATTGGGTTCCTGCCACTACATGGGAGACCTGGATTGCATTCCTGGCTCTAGGTCCATCCTAGTCCCAGAAGTTTCTGGCATTTGGGGAGTCAATTAGTGGGTAAGAAGATTTCTCTGTCTCTCTGCCTTTCAAATAAATGTTTTTAAGGGGTTTACTTTCGCTCACAATTCTGGAAGTTCAGAGTCCAAGATCAGGCAGGCCCCACTGATCCAGCTCTGCTGAGGGGGTTCTTGCAGGTAGAGTCATTAGATGACATATGCCATTACAAGGCAAGACACAGAGAATGCACTTATCTATGCCTGGGAGGTCTCTCACATCGCCATCACGATCCAATCTAATCACTTCCTAAAGACCCCTCTTTTAAACACTAAGTTCCATTCACAAGACTGGGTAACCTCCTGAGCTCAGAGGCACTCAAGCCTACATAGTTTCCTATTTTTTTGAAACAATTAAAACAATTACTATAAAAATTAACTTTTTCTTAAAGATGGAGGAAAGTTATAGATAATGAAAAATAGCACATGGGCTTTGAACTGTAGACTGTCTATTAACTTTCCTTTCATTATTATAGATGTAATAATCTTTCACTAATTCCCAAAATAACGCATTGGAAAATTACAGCTAAAGATTTATTTCTCACCTGAATATTCCTGTGATACTATTAGTTTCCTACATTTTTATACTCACCTTACCAGGAATAGGATAGCTTATCAGAAGTCTACTCTCAGACTGAATAAAACACTGCTCCAAAGAACTGCAGTCTAAAAAATAGTAAGTCCTCCAACACATTTAAAAACTTAAATCCAAAGGAAAGGTCACTCATTTAATTTATCTGCAATGCCACTTACAGCAAAAAAAAAAACAAAAAAAAAAACAAAAAAAAAAAAAAAACAAACACACACACACAACACAACAGAGGCAGGCATTGTGGCAAAGCAGGTTAAATCACAGCTTGCAATGCTGCATCCCATACTGGAGTGCCAATTGGAGTCATGGCTACTCCACTTCTGATCCAGCTTCCTGCTAATGTGCCTGGGAGGGCATCAGACGATGGCCTAAATGGCTGGGTCCCTGTCCACCCACGTGGGAGACCTGAATGGAGTTCTTGACTCCTGGCTTTGGCTTGTCCCAGCCCTGGCTCTCGCAGTCATTCTGAGAGTGAATCAGAGAACAAAAGATCTCACTCTGTTTCCGTCCGTCTTTCTTTCCCTCTCCTTCTTTCTCCCTCTCTGCCACTCTTGCAAATCAATGTTTTTTTGTTTGTTTTGACAGGTAGAGTGGACAGTGAGAGAGAGAGAGAGAGAGAGACAGAGAAAGGTCTTCCTTTTGCCGTTGGTTCACCCTCCAATGACCGCAGCGGCCGGCACGCTGCAGCCGACACATCGTGCAATCGAAGCCAGGAGCCAGGTACTTATCCTGCTCTCCCATGAGGGTGCAGGTCACGGCGCCGGCGCAAATCAATATGTTTAAAAAAAAAAAAAAAAAAAAAAAAAAAAGCCGGCGCCGCAGCTCACTAGGCTAATCCTCCACCTTGAGGCGCCTGGCACACCGGGTTCTAGTCCCAGGTCGAAGCGCCAGGTTCTGTCCCGGTTGCCCCTCTTCCAGGCCAGCTCTCTGCTATGGCCCGGGAGTGCATTGGAGGATGGCCCAAGTGCTTGGGCCCTGCACCCCATGGGAGACCAGGAGAAGTACCTGGCTCCTGCCATCGGATCAGCGCGGTGCGCCAGCCGCGGCGGCCATTGGAGGGTGAACCAACGGCAAAGGAAGACCTTTCTCTCTGTCTCTCTCTCTCACTGTCCACTCTGTCAAAAAAAAAAAAAAAAAAAAGAGAAAGAAAATAGCCTGTATTTGTATGTACTTATTTAATATTTTTTAAAAACCTAGGAGATAGGGGCCGGCGCCGCGGCTCACTAGGCTAATCCTCCGCCTAGCGGCGCCGGCACACCGGGTTCTAGTCCCGGTCGGGGCGCCGGATTCTGTCCCGGTTGCCCCTCTTCCAGGCCAGCCCTCTGCTGTGGCCAGGGAGGGCAGTGGAGGATGTCCCAGGTGCTTGGGCCCTGCACCCCATGGGAGACCAGGAAAAGCACCTGACTCCTGGCTCCTGCCATCGGATCAGCGCGGTGCGCCGGCCGCAGCGCGCCGGCCGCGGCGGCCATTGGAGGGTGAACCAACCGCAAAGGAAGACCTTTCTCTCTGTCTCTCTCTCTCACTGTCCACTCTGCCTGTCAAAAAAAAAAAAAAAAAAAAAAAAAAAAAAAAAAAAAAAAAAAAAAAAAACCTAGGAGATAGGTATTCTTTATATTTTAGCAAACTAAGTCTCAAGGAAGTTAAGCATCCAAAGTAAATAAGGTAAAGAACCAAAACTTGAATTCATGACTTTGACTAGTCAGTTAATGATAAGGATGCCCTGCAGGCATTCTGTTAGGATCCTTGTAGCCATGTGCACAAGGACTACAGAACCAAGACTCTTCAGTGTCCCCTCCCAGCTCCTCTCATGTCTCGAATTGGAACTCAGTAAATTGGACTCAAGGCAGAGTTGCAAACAGGGGTGAGGGGTGGGGGGAGAGAGGAGAGAGAGAGGTCATCCATTCACTGGTTCACTCCCCAAATGGCTGCAACGGCTGGAGATGGACCAATCCGAAGCCAGGAGCTTCTTCCAGGTCTCCCACCTGATACAGGGGCCCAAGCACTTGGGCCATCTTCGACTGCTTTCCCAGGACATAGCAGAGAGCTGGATTGGAAATGGAGCAGCCAGGACTTGAACCGGTGCCTATATGGGATGCTGGCACTGCATGTGGCAGCTCTACCTGCTATGCCACAGCGCTGGCCCCAGATTTATTTGAAAGGTAGAGCAACAGAAAGAGGAGTGGAGCACAGCATGGGCCCCCTAAATAAATCGTTAAAAAAAATGAACTGTGCATAATATTTCCTCATATTTAGATTTATTTGTATAAATTTTTATATATTAACATTTTCAATTTAATTATATGATGCACTCCTTAAAATTGGGCTATAGAACACAAAAACATAAAATTCAGTGAATATGTTTACAAAACCATCCTGTATCATCAAAATTTGACTGTGGCATTCTAGCTTAAGATATAACATCTAACTTTAAAAAAAAACAAATTAGCAGAAGTTCCACATTTCAAAAACATACTAAGATAGATTTAAATCAGAACTGAAATCTCTCTACCTTTCATGAATCTTTCATAACTTCTCTTGCCACTTATCAGAACCATACACTGAAAGAATCTTTCTTTCATGATTGGGTTTCACAATTTAATTCTGTGAAGTCATAGAACTATGACAGAATAATTTTTTGGCAACAAACTGACATCATTAAGTTCTTAATTGTAAGTTCTTTGGGGGTATTTGGATATTCTGTTTTTTACTTAAGAGCAAAATCTATTTCCTGTTGACTCTTCATTAAGCTAATATGATTGATAGACTTTAACCTGATTTATTCCCTTTGTCCCCACTGTCTTTCTAAAACTGCCTCTTGGAGAGTACGCAGAGAATGCCTATTTAGTAAGTTCAAACAAAATATAAATGATGTCTGGATTGCCCTTACCTGTGAACAATTTGTGTCATTGCCCAGTACTTCTTGAGCAAAGAAACACCAAAACCAGTAATGTACTGTTTTTTTCTTTTTTCTTAAACTGTGCAACATTCCCTTTATTTATTTTATAAACGTCTTTTTATGGCATACATATAAAGCAACAGCAGCAGTTACAAAATGTTGTCTGAGGAATCTTAAGAGCTCTGTTTTTTCTTATCTCTATACCACTTTACTGTAAGATAATAGTACTTTCTGTTCAATTACCTTTTCAATAGATTAATGTGGTTCTGTCACTGATATAATTTCAACTGAGAAAAAAAATTCTAGTACTCATTCTTTGTCCAAAACCAAGTAGTACTAGAAACAACAAAGCCACTTCCATTTGTAATATTTCTCTTTTTCTCCAAAAATAAGCTATACTGGACAAGCGTAACTATTTTACCAAACACAACACCAAGTCAGCAAACACACTTCTTATGCAAAGAAATTAGAGTTGCTCAGGAAAACAAACTGGCCTGTGAAATACATGCTCTGCCAAAACAAAACAAAAGGCATTAAGCAGACTTAGCAAACAAACAATCTCTCAATCTTAGTTTCTATTTGCAAAATAAAACCTTAGGACAAAACTGATTGGCTAAAAAAGGGTGGTGTGAAAGGGATCAAACCAAGTAGTTCTGGCCAGAGTACTCAGTCATGGAACAAACAGAGGGATAGAGAAAGGTCTCCAAAACATGGTACCTACTGGACAGACCAATCAGCTGGTGACTACTGGGGGAGCACAGCCTTACATCCACATGACACAAATCCTTTACATACAGGTCTGATGCATCACCATAGGTAAAATTTCAGGATCTCTTGTTAAAGTACAAATGTAGCTATTGTAAACAAAGACCCTAAACTCCAAGCTAAAACCAATGCATGAGACAGAACCAGAAAAAGCCGATCTTTCCCAATCAATAAATACCTGATATATTGCCACCACTTAGTGACTTAAAATCCTACTGTGGAACACTTATAACATTAAACATGCTTAGACTCTGGGGCCGGCACTGTGGCATAGCAGGTAAGGCCACTGCCTACAGTGCCGGCATCCCAAATGGGTGCCAGTTTGAGACCCGGCTGCTCCACTTTCAATCCAGCTCTCTGCTGTAGCCTGGGAAAGCAGAAGATGGCCCAAGTCTTTGGGCCCCTGCACCCACGTGGGAGACCTGGAAGAAGCTCCTGGCTCCTGGCTTCAGTGCAGCTCCAGCCACTGCGGCCAACTGAGGAGTAAATCAGCGGATGGAAGACCTCTCTCTCTCTGTGTTAACTCTTTCAAGTAAAATAAATAAATCTTTAAAAAAAAAAAAAAAAAGGACAAAAAAAGTACTTAGACTCTCTCAACCAAGATGTTTAGTCCCTACTGTGTACCAGGTATACTATGCTGGACGCCAGAGATCCAATATGGAAAGACAAAAGTGATGTCTGTTCTCACAGACCTTTTGGTCTTAATGCAAAAAGCACTTAGGCAAACAAGAAATCTTCATGAAATGGGAGGTTCTGATAACAAAATGGTGGAAGATTCTTTAGAAGAAACACACTGAAACCAAATTTTAGAAAACCAATGACACTAGGCCAAGGAATTTGAAGTTTACATTTGAGTTGAGGAAGACTTGGCTCATTAGAAAACATGAATCTAATCATGTTCTGATTAAATTTTTATTTGACAGAGTTAGACAGTGAGAGAGAAAGACAAAGAGAAAGGTCTTCCTTCCGTTGGTTCACCTTGCAAATGGCCACTACGGCTGGCACTGCGCCGATTTGAAGCCAGGAGCCAGGTGCTTCCTCCTGGTCTCCCACGAGGGTGCAGGGGCCCAAGCACTTGGGCCATCTTCCACTGCACTCCCGGGCCACAGTAGAGAGCTGGACTGGAAGAGGAGCAACCCGGACTAGAACCTGGCACCCATATGGGATGCCAGCAGGGCAGACAGAGGATTAACCAAGTGAGCCACAGCGCCAGCCCCCTGAGTAAAATTTTTCAATAGCTTCTTATTTCCTTAGATAAATCCGAATTCTTTAATAAGGTTACCTAAATCCTGCATAAACACCCCCACTTGCGCACACAATCTAGTAAGTCTTACATGACAGACTTTTTCTTAATGACAGATTCTTTTCTATTTCTTTTTTTAAACATATTAGTCACAACCTACTAAACTGATTTCACAATCCATAGTAGGTTCCTGCAGTTAGTAAAACACTACTTTTGTGGAATACACACTCTGACTTCTTGGCCTTTCCACATGTTCTTTTTGCCCAAATATTCTTTCTTCCCCTCATTCTTTCTATTTTACATATGATCTCAGCTCTTAAACATTACTTTCCTGGCCCTCTTAAAGTTTTTCCTCCTCCAAAGCTTGCTACACCTTCCAATACTTAACACATTTTAGATATTACATTTGTACTAATTGTCTTTCTAGGTTATAAACTCCGTAAGAGCAAGAACTCATTCTTGTTCACCACTGAATCCCCAGAGCTAGCCCAGTGTTTGTTACTTATTAGACACTCAATAAATATTTGAAGAGTAAAACCAGTCAGGAAACAGATGCACAAAATCTGTATTCTTAGTCACACAATGAAATAATCACCCTCTGAAAAATTTCAAGAAGCGGCAGTTCATGTTATAAATGGTGATTCAAGTGCCTCGGCTAGCCTATGAAACACTGTTATCCACAACACACTTAACCGACGAGAAGATGGCTGTTTATTTTCCTCCCTGAAGTGACAACAGAACTTTAATGCTCTCAACAGGAGAAAGCAGGATTAAAGAGACACTTTTTTCTCTCCACTCCCAAAAAACAACATTCCAGACTGGTTTCACCCCTTGAGCTCTCACTATCACTCATGGACTTGCAAGCCCTCAAGAAGAGAAAGTCGTCTTTTACAGCTCCTGTGAGCGAAGCTCCTGCTGGCAGGCAGGTCTCTCCTCCCTGCCAAGAACCGCAGTGTTTTAGATGCTTCAGTCTTATTCACACAGGTGCATAAGCAGGAACGGAAGAAGCCTGGGTCTAAGCTGAATTGTTCAATCTAGCTTCACGAGAAATAAAAGTCAACTATTACTTTAATAATTTTTAATAAGCAGGTCCCAAAAAAACAAAAATCGTATGTTTGTCCTGATTTGTGATAACTAATATACAGAGTACAAAAAAAAAAAAAATGTAATGGGGTTTGCGTTGTAGCGTGGCAGGTAAAGCCACTGTGTGTGCTGCTGGCATCCCATGTGGGTGCCAGCTCAAGTCCCAGTTACTCCACGTTTTTCTTAAACGTGAAGCTTACATTCGACCCATATTTAGCAATTATTCTTGATAATGACAATGTTTGTTCTCTCTCCTCTTTGTCTCTTCCTTCTCATACTTGGTTCTTATTTTAAAATTTTATTTCTGGGAGCCAGAGCTGTGGCATAGGTTAAGCTTCCACCTATGACACTGGCATTCCATATGGGTGTCAGTTCGAGCCCCAGCTGCTCCACTTCCAATCCAGCTCTCTGCTAATGGCCTGGGAAAGCAGTGGAAAATAGCCCAAGTCCTTGGGCCCCTGCACTCTTGTGGAAGACCTGGAACAAGCTCCTGACTTTGGACTGCTCCAGCTCTAGCCATTGCAGCCATTTGGGGAGTGAAGTGGTAGATGGAAGATCTCCCTCTCTATCTCTGTAACTCTGCCTTTCAAATGAATAAATAAATCTTTTTTTAAAAATGTAATATATATGAGCAAAACTGACATTTTGAGATTTGATTATTGTTATAGCCCTTGTCCATACTCTTGAGGAACCGTGGTTATTCTACTTACTACCTGTAAAATTCTGCATTTAGTGGTGGGTTAAGCTTGTGATGATAAAGAAAACTGAAAGTATGTCATTATAAAAATTAAAAGGAGTGAGGGTACGACAGGAAATATTAAGCTCTTAAAACAGTATATATGGGCCGGCGCCGCGCTCAATAGGCTAATCCTCCGCCTTGTGGCGCCGGCACACTGGGTTCTAGTCCCGGTCAGGGCACCGGATTCTGTCCTGCCTGCCCCTCTTCCAGGCCAGCTCTCTGCTGTGGCCCGGGAGTGCAGTGGAGGATGGCCCAAGTCCTTGGGCCCTGCACCCGCATGGGAGACCAGGAGAAGTACCTGGCTCCTGGCTCTGGATCAGCGCGGTGCACCCGCCGCAGTGGCCATTGGAGGATGAACCAATGGCAAAGGAAGACCTTTCTCTCTCACTGTCCACTCTGCCTGTCAAAAAAAAAAAAAAAAAAAAAACTGTATATATGAAACATATGAAGCTTGTTTTTATAAATAAAATTTTTTTTAAGATTTGAAAGGCAGTGCAATGGGACGGGAAATGGCAGGTGAAGAGGCACAGACATCTTCCATCCATTAGTTCACCCCTCAAATGACCACAACAGCCAGGTTTGGACCAAGAAAAAGCCAGCAATTTAGAACTCCTTCTGGATGGGTTAACAGGGGCCCAAGTACTTGGCCATCTTCCACCACCTTCCCAGGCTCATCAGCAGGAGGCTGGATAGGAAGCAGAGTAGCTAGAACTGCCACTGGCCCTTTAACATGAGATGCCAGCAGCGCCAGTGCAGGCTTAACCCACCACACAACGCTGGCCCCTTAAGGGTGTTTTAATCATCCTCTGACTTCTTAAATTTGACTTTGACTAGAAATGTGGAGATAAGAGGTATAATTAGCATTCTAAAAAGCTTCAATCACCTCATTTCTGGGTCCTAGGAGAAGTCAGCATGGAGTAACATGGTGGAGCAAAAGGGAAGAGGAACTGAAAGAGGATGCTTCCTTTCACTTTTCCTACATAGACATTTCGTCCTACCCCTCAAGTCAAAACTCTCATTTCCTTCATGCAGCTAATCAGAGAGGAAGCAATCTGATTAAATCCATTCACATTAACATACACCGTGATTGGGGCCGGCGCAGTGGCTTAGCAAGTAAAGCCACCTCCTGCAGCACTGGCATCCTATATGGGTGCCTGTTCGAGTCCCAGCTGCTCCACTTCCTATCTAGCTCCCTGCTATAGCCTGAGAAAGCATAGAAGGTGGCCCAACTGCTTGGGCCCCTGCATCTACATTGGGAGACCCAGAAGAAGCTCCCAGATCCTGGCTTCAAATTGGCCCAGCTCCAGCCGTTGTGGCCATTTGGGGAATGAACCAATAGATGAAGATATCTCTCTCTCTCTCTCTCTCTCTCTCTCTATTTCTACCTAACTCCACCTTTCAAATAATATAAATTTTAAAAAAAGTAAAACAGAGTGATTGAAAGTTCTAGCCCTTCCCATGTATACATTTGCATATTTTACTTGCATATATATTTTAAGCTAATTAAATCTAATAACAGTAGTTTCAAAGAGATGAAGGGATCCCTACAAGTCTACCATAAATTAAGTAAGTTAGGTACCATAAAGGAAACAAGTCATCATTTCCCAGGGATCATTCCCAATTTTCACTGCCTCCAATTTTTAGTCCTTCTCAAAAAGTGGTACTAAAAACTCCAGGGAGCAGAAGCAGCCAACTTGAGAAATCATCTGTAGCTCTCAGGTATTTGTATATGCATTAAGTCATTTAGCAATCAATATTAGGGTTGGATAGTCTATTTTCAATGTTTGATAATTTCATTAGCTAAAGCAAAGCAAAAACACATTTAGGTTATATACTGAAATCATCAGCCTCATTGTTTTAATAAAGGCAGTGAGGCATAAAACAGTTAAATAATATGTCCACAGTTGCATCATCTTTTATAAGCATTAGGCAGTTCATAAAGCTCTTAATCACTTGCTCATCCATTATTTCCATTTGGAAATCTTTAATTGTATCTTCTGTATAAAGTTTGTATATAGTTTGGAAGCATACTTTTTGAAAGTGACAAAGATTCTTTGCTTGATCAAACTCCAGTCAGTGTTCTGAACCTTCTAGACCCATCAGTGTATTTCTTTGTAAAATCCACCTTAGCAAAGAACCCCACTAGGTCAGTTTAGTTAGAACCTTCCACCTTCTCTATTCAGGTTCATCCTTTACCAACCCCTGGGGTGATGTCTAATCACTCTGGCCTATCTTTCAGCAGGAATCCTGTTTGGTTGGTTGAACTGCAACCCCCTTATCCCTGATTTGTCTC